GCCCGCGACAACAAGAAGACGCGCATCATCCCGCGCCACCTGCAGCTCGCCATCCGCAACGACGAGGAGCTCAACAAACTGCTGGGCCGAGTCACCATCGCGCAGGGCGGCGTCCTGCCCAACATCCAAGCCGTGCTGTTGCCCAAGAAGACCGAGAGCAGCCACCACAAGCCCAAGGGAAAGTAAACCAATGAACTAAGTGCTTTCCTTTTTCAAAGCCCAAAGGCTCTTTTCAGAGCCACTACTTGTTCATATGAGAGCCTAGTAACCGAGGTGGTTTTCACCTATTTTATGGCAAACCCATGTTAAGTGTGTTACAACACCGAGCCATAATTCTAATTGGAGGCTTTTTTAGGTACTTTGTCTTATGCAGTGATACAATGGATATAGTACACACATGTAGGTTGTCTTTGTATAAAATTTAGCTCTTGCAGTCCTTTAGTATTTCTCTGGCGAGGCAGCAGACTATAAGGTCCGGGATTAGGAGAAATTTCATAGAGATTTACGGAAATTGTTAGGTAAGCCTTTACAATGCAGATTTCAGAGGCTATATGACTTGTAATTACTGTTACATCACTGCTGGCTTTGTCATTTTAAACACCTATATGGAGCAAGAACGTAGTTTTAGTAGTCCAGGACATATTTTACATATCAAAGCAGACTCGTCCTCATTTTCTTCCTCTCTCCCGGCCACCCCTCGATTTGCCGGGCCTCAGTCCTTGAGGCCAGGGAAGTCCCTCAAGGGCAGTTTCCCAGTAAACCTGCCTTTCATATATTCTATTCTGGCTTGGATTGGCTCATTTCGCCGGCTGAGAAATAACCTATCACGTTGCAGTCCAGGCACCGGAAGCGAAAAATAAATCCCAAGGAGGGTAGAGAATGGATGTTCCAAAGTGGTTTCTGGGATTGTAGGGTCATGACATTTCAAAGTCAAGATTTTTTTCTCTTACTTTCTTTAAGCGGCTTGATACAAGACCCGGGTGGAGACATATAAATTTAAGAAAGTTCCAGTGTGCCATACTAAAACATTAGACTAGCAATCCATCCTATCAGGCCTCTAACTCAGAAATCCGCCTGCCTCTGCCTCCCAAGTCCTCGGATTAAAGCGTGCGCCACCACCACCCGGCTTTTTTTTTTTCTTTTTTCTTTTTTTTTTTTCTTTTTTTTTTGTTGGTTTTAATTTTAATAAATTTTTCTTACAGAGTTATTTTTAAGTATATGCATGTCTTCATGTATGGATACCCTGGAACTGGAGTTACATGAGGTATGAGCCACCCAAATAGGTAGTGAGCACTGAACTCTGGTCCTCTGTAAAAGCAGTATACTTCTAGCTCCCACCTTCAGTATTTTTAATATTGCCTATAGTCACATTTTTGGTCAAACAAAAATTAAAATTATAATTGTTTAAGGGTAGACCTTAAACCTGCAAAACCATACACAGAACCTAACTACTTTTCACAGCCCAGACCACTAATCCAAACCATGTCATCCGCAAACTGAATAGCTGTAGCAGCCTCCTTACTAGTTTCCCTTGACACTAGTTTTAATCAAACATCTATATTCATTGTTTTTAAATTTAACTCAGATCTTGACTGTTCTTAGCTCAAATCCCTACAGTAATTCCCACCTCATCTCATCCTCCTCAATGAGAGCAAACTCCAACAAAATGAGCAAAGAACCCCTCATTCTTTCATTAAGAGTACTTGCCTGCTTTTCCAGAGCACCTGGGACCCATTCCCAGCACACATATGGTGGCTCACTATTGCCTTAAACCCAGTTTCAGGGGATCCAGCACCCACTTCTAGCCATCTTGGGCACATGGTGCACAAACACTCATTCATGTACATTTAAATTATTCATACCTATAAATTCAAGAACACAGAACAGTGCCTGACACATGTTGTTTTCAGATTACTTTTTTTCAAGCCTCAGATGTTTTTTCTTCCTCCAGTGAGTTTTAACCAACCTCCAATAGTATATGACTCTTTTTCACTTGCTTACCCACAGAAACCCTTATCTTTAAAATAAAGATGAGATCTCCTCTTTATGGTGGGGTAGGCCTTTAATCCCAGCACTCAGGAGGCAGAGGCAGGGGAATATGAGCTCGGGGCCTGCCTGGTCAACAGAGTGAATTCCAAGGCAGACAGAGCTACACAGAGAAACCCTGTCTCAAAAATTAAAGAAGAAAAAAACTGCTGCTGCTGGTGATGGTGGTGATGGTGGAGGTGGTGGAGGTAGTGGTGGTGGAGGTGGTGGAGGTGGAGGTGGTGGTGGTAGTAATATAATAACGATGACAATCAAATTAACATCCTAAATTTTCTTGATTTCATGTGGTTTGGCGGCCATGAAGAAAAGCATCTTTTCTGTTGATTTTTTTTTCTCAGCCCCACACTTTTCAGTGTACAATACTCTCAAATCTTACCACTCCTAGCTGAACCGAAATTTCTGAAGATACAAACTTAGCCCACATAGAAAATATCAAAACTGCCTATACTGTCTTAGACTTTGTTTAGACACCCAACGTGGATGCACTCCTGTTAACGAAGTTGGGACGTTCCCAGAGTTGCATATTAAAACTACCAATGTTTTTATATTTTACCTACTGCCCAATTTTAATAAAACATCCCTTAAGCAAACACCTGCTTTCCACCATGAGTACCAGAAAACCCACACCGCATGGGTGCCCAGGACAAGGCGACATTCTTTGAAGCCGGATTTCCGCACTCTACAAAGCACAGAAACAGCCAACCACCGTAGGTACTGTGCACTAGGCCCGCCCCGCACTTTTATCCCAGCTGCCCATCAGCTAGCTCTCGCGCTTTGTCCTTCCAACCCGCACGGTCTAAACACAGGCAGCATACCTCTTAAGGACGCTTTGTCCTTCCTCCTTCTAAATAAATGCATGTCTCCCGAATATAACCTATATCTTCAAAGAACTGTCAACCTAGATTGTAATTAGCGAATCGATTAACGGACTTTATGCCAAACACTGAACTGCTAGATAATCTCAAAGGTAAACGACAAAGGTACGCTCTTTTAATAAGAAAATGTGGGCGGCCCTGAAAAGGGCCTTTGGTTTTGTGAGATCAAAGCGGAAGTCGCTTAACCGCCGAAGCCGTAGAGGGTGCGGCCCTGGCGCTTGAGCGCGTAGACCACGTCCATGGCGGTGACGGTCTTGCGCTTGGCGTGCTCCGTGTAGGTGACCGCGTCGCGGATCACGTTCTCCAGGAACACCTTCAGCACACCGCGGGTCTCCTCGTAGATGAGGCCGGAGATGCGCTTCACTCCTCCGCGCCGGGCCAGGCGGCGGATGGCGGGCTTGGTGATGCCCTGGATGTTGTCGCGGAGGACTTTGCGGTGGCGCTTGGCGCCGCCTTTGCCCAGGCCCTTACCGCCTTTGCCGCGTCCAGACATGTTAAAACTGCAGGAGAGGAAACCTCAACAGGGTGGAAGACACAGGCACATTCCTTATATGCAGGGTTCTCGGACCTAATTGAAGACTGAAATCACGTGCGCACTCGCCCCTCCCCTAGCGTGGTTCATGCCAAATGACGTCACCAACGTTCGTTGTTCTCTTTCCTTGAGCTGGGTCTTTTGTCCCCAAACAGGACTTTCCGGCCATTTTAACTAGTTCAGCCTAAAGAATTTCTTTAAGAATGCACATTTGTCACTTGCGACATATTTAGAGAGCAGATCTTTGGTGAGCCAAGCGATCATAAATGCTGATGTAGGGTGCATGTGAGGTCTCGTTTCCCACGATTTTATTTCCTGCTGTAAAGGACTAAGCATTGGAGAAAACAGCACCTTTTCTTCCATATCGACTTCTGGACGAATCTGATCCGAAAGTCTTGCTTCCCGCAGGTAAATGCGTGGTTGGCCTCTAAGACTTGACTGTCTACTATACTGTTTTCTCCTTTGTCTAATTATTTACTAGTATATTAATGTCTGCTACTCTAGCCCAAATTTTGCTTTCTCTTTGATCCAATAGCGACATTATTCCTAACAAAATAGCACCCTTTGGGTAGACAGGTAGAAGGTGCCTTCCTACAAGCCTTTGTATAAAGTAGGCGAGAACACCAACTATACATGAAGCTAAGGGGAATATTAAGATAGCACTCCTACCGAGTAGCAGAGTGGCGCAGCGGAAGCGTGCTGGGCCCATAACCCAGAGGTCGATGGATCGAAACCATCCTCTGCTATCTACTTTTTTCATTTTTTTTCTTTTCCCCTCCCAAGTTACTCAAATTCGTTCTGTAATTAGAAAGTCAAGTAGATCTCTGCAGAATGGAACTGAAACCTTTCATGGACGCTCAAGTGATAACTAATGTGTTCTCTTGATAAATCAGATTTATTTTGGCTTGTAATCTTTGCTCCTCTCGAAAGCCTAAAATCACTAAACGAAAGTGAGTACAGAGGTAAGAGTGGAGGAACAGAGTTCAGTTTCTTCCATACATAAAATTCATGAAGCCTTATTTTTCAAGGGTCTGGTGGTAGACTAGGAATACTTTGAACAGTCCCTGTAGATATTCTTTGCAATTGCTAGAGTCTTAATCTTGACAGCAATAGGTAGTGTTTTGAGAAAAGTGTGCAGTTAAGGGGGATGTGGGGTCTTCAGTTGAAGTCTGACTGAGAAACCCACTTCTGCTACCGACATTAGTCCTGTTAACTCCACTTTCCCAAAGATAAACCTTTTTGCTAAGCTATCGATGTTCTCTATGCTTCTTTTTCAAGCTCTGTACTCACTGTGTTTTTTATTTCTCTCACAGGAAGGATTCCTGTTCAAATTTTATGTGTCAGATACTGTCTGTCCTAGAAGTTAAAACACAGAAAAAAACACATTAAGTAGCCTAGAATCTACACAGGTGTTTTGGGTTGCTTTGCTTTGAGTGACCTTGAGATGCTCCTCTTGCTTCTACCAACAAGGCTTACTGTGTCTTTTTAAAATAGCTCTTCACTGGATCAGAAACCAGATGTTCAAAGACCTCCCTCCTGTTAGGCTGTAGGGATGGAAGACTTTATTTCTTCTCCGAGGGGGCTAAAGATGAGACCATGAAAATGATTTGATTGACAGAACCACCTAGTAGCCCTTTTTTTTTTCATCAGATATACTTGTTGATCTCAGCCCCATAACCACCCACTAGTTAGTTCAATGACTTGGGGAAATCCTCCCATAACTCTACATGCATGTGCAGTTAGGATTACAACACAGGAAGAGGCTGTCACAAAAGTGAAGAGTGAAGAAGGCTTTCTTGTCATCTCCTCCATGGTGACAGACATTCCTCTCTCCAGCTGAGAGCCACGGGAGTGTGTATCAGCTATACCAGTCTACTAAAGTCCATTGAACAGGAGTCAAAGTAGTTCCAGAGAACTGGCTGCCCGATGACCACATTCTTACTGGTCATACGTTAAATGCTACATTAAATATGCCACCAGCATGGATCATAGTGACTTCCTGCTTCAGGGATGTAGAATAAAATTACTACCCTGTTGGGAGCGACCTTGCTTAAACATTAACTGCCTTGTCAGCCATACGTGCTCACTGGCACAAAATCTTGGCCTCTGCGGAAAAGAACTAGCCCAGATTTTGTGGACAGGTACCTAGCAACCCATTCTGCTCTGTTCCTTCTGCTGAACTTTTTACCCAGCCACATCCTGTTCTTGAGAACACCTGCATCCCAAAAAACAAAGCGACCCTACCCCACCCTCTACCCCACATCCTGCTTCTATGAGTATATAACCGGTGTGGGAACAATAAAAATATGTCAGCTTGATCAGACCTCTTGACTTGCTATCTGCTCCTTGCATCTCTTCCCCACCCCCATTCTCTTCTAGGTGTTCCCCCAGTCCCCGTTCACCACCCCGCTGGCGGGGGCACTACCCAGGAGCTATGTGAGCATTCCCAGATTGTACTTTTTAGTGTATGGCCAAGGATCATCCCATGGCACTTATCCACAGAGCTTATTTCACAGAACTGAACATTAAATAGAGAAGTTCAGCTCCCATGGCTTTGCCCTGATGTTATGGAGTATGTAACCACGGAGAAAAGACCATAGAGTCAATCCAATTATAATTATAAAATGAACTGATTAGCTGCTAACAGGACAAACAATCTCTGAGCTAAATTTGAGATTGCCATAAAAGAAGAATCTTAAAGGGGAAAATAACAAGACCTTTAATATCTAAACAAGCAAGAAAAACTATTCTGTTCTGCCAAGTTAAGTGGTTAAGCCAGCTAAAAACCATCTTTAGGTATCTGTGTAATCCAGTTACAGAAGCAAAAAAAAAAAAAAAAAAATGTTAGTCATATGCTAACAAATAGTCATGCAGGGCTCTTCATTTTTGAATGTGATCACCGAGTCAGGGTTACTGAGACTTATCTTCCAGGGACTGGAGTCAGAGACAAATGGCTAGATGGATGCCTAGCATAAAACAGTTTCTTTAGCCATCACACTGGCATTTATAAACCAGGAAAAGGGGTGGATTTTGCCAAGAAACTTTAGTAAGTAAGTGATTACTAGACAGCCAAGAAAATCATTCTAGGCAAAAGAAACAAACGGAGGTACACATGAGAGCTAAACACTTCTAACTACAAAAATTCAGTGTGAGAGTGGGAAGGTGAGGGAGGCAGTTCCAAAAAGGGAAGGGACTAATACGCTCAGATCATTTCTTCAACCACTGGAAATGTCCTGAAACAGTAGAATACAAGACACCTAACACAGGCAATATGGGATTGTATCGATGTGTATGTTTGGGGCTATCGATATTACAGTTTGCAAGAGTGACCATCTTAAATTGGTCATTTCTACATTCATATTTCATACACAGACTTAGCCAAACAGATCTTAAACACACACACACACTTCAGCCTCCCAAATGTTCCTCCATCCCACTCAACAAGAACTATGGAGATGGCTGTTTGTTGGTTGTGCAGCTTTTTTTTTATTAAAATGTAATTATATCATTTCCCCTCCCTCCTCACCCTCCAACTCTTCCCACAGATACCTTCTCAATACCTATGAAATTCATGACCACTGTTATTATTACTATCATCATTATTATTATTACAAATATATGCATGTACATAAATACAACCTACTGAATCCATTTAAATAACACAATTTTTTTTTTTGCAACAGCAGAAATAAAAGTCTTGAAGACTAACAAGACTTCAATCAACAATCCTCTCCACCTGCGCCGTCAGCTGTGCCGTCAGCTGCACCATCATTTCCTGTGGCAGTTAAGCCACACAAGCCATCCGAGCATCCGAGCTGCTTTTCAAGAAATCTCCAATTCCAGGAAGAAAGAAAACATCATTCTGTTGTGTATTCATCAGAGAACATTTCTCAGACATAGTTTTAGCCAATAGAAAGTCTTTCTTAGCTATGACTATGCTGTGTGTTCTGGATCACAGTGTAGCACTGAGCCTTTCTCAGGGTGAGCTTTTAAGCACAAAAATCATGTCCCGGGTTGACATACTTCAGTTATCAAGAGCAGTTAGCCAGAAACAGAACTACAAAAGCCAGAAAACAAGGGTGGTACATTTAGGAACTCTCCCAGAACTATGGACTTTGATGGGTTGAGATTTTGTTTTAGTTTTGACAGGTGATACCACCTATTACAGCCTGAATGGCATTTTAATCATGGAGTCAGTTGTGCTAAGGTCTCAGGGCCTATTACACTCCAGAATCAACTTTTGCAGAACCGAAGAATGTGTCTGTGTGAACAAAGCGCACCTGATAGATGATTGTGGGATTCTAGAACAAGCATGTGTAAAGAATTCATGTTTCTATTTCATGCTTCCTATTTTCCAGATGTTATTCTACTGACAGGAAAGAAAGGCTGTGTAAAAAGGCCCCTTTCTGAACTCCAGTAATTGCTTTTTAGTAATCATGAAAGCATCATGAATTCTATGAATGTTTCTTCTCTAATATTATTATAATACCATTTTTATTCATAAATTAAGTGTAAAAAATGATAATAGTCAAAATTGTTTGTATTCCTAACTTGGGGTCTTTTCCCTTCTTAATGAAAGCTAATTTATAAATAGCAATTAATGACCTTAGACCTGTCAAGACACCAGAGGATCCCCCAAAAATGTTTTGTTTTCTTTCTGAAATGAACAGTACGTGCCTTGGAAAAGTGCTGTGGCATCAAGTTATAAGAATCAAAAAAAGTAGGAGAACATGGGAGGGTGCCTTTGTCACGCCAGGGGATCTGTAAGTAACGAGTTTATGAATGATGCGCATTAATAGGGAAGCAGTTCTCAGTACATGCAAACTACTTGCTCAGCCATAAATTACAATATCGAATACATCTGGCCCTGTGGCCTCAAGTAATCCACAGGATCTCCTGGCGTGGACTGCATTGCTTTTTATAATGTGCAGAGCCCAGCAGACAGTTCCTTTCACTTTCTA